CTGCGGGGAGGCTCTGTGGGCGGCGGGAGCACCTGTCGGGACAGGAATTCATTTCGATGATTTTTAAAGCCCTCACTGCAGGGGAAGGGGGTCCCCCCAGTCCCACCCCCAGAGGTTCGTGGGTGGGAAGGGTGTGCCCTTGCGGAAACTCGGGGGGAAAACAAAAGTGCTGGAAAGGAGGGCAAAAGTGAGGCGCAGCGACCCTCGCGCCGGCTGCCCGCAGGGTCTTCCAGCCCGTTATGCGGACGGGGATGCCCTTTGCCAGGGCTCCGGTCCAGGCTGCGGGCCGTCCGCAGCGCGCACCCAAGCCAATCTGATGGGCAGGAGAGGCCAGCCCCGGGGTGGGATTGTAGGGTGAGGGATCCGCATTGCAGGTGCACCAGGAGCGCCCGAGGGCCTGGCCCTGCTTTGTCTGGGATGCTGTGGGGAGGAGGCCGTGTGAATCCACAACGCCTTTTTAAGTGCGTTTTACCACCCTTTGGACGTTAGAGAACGTCCCCGATAAGTTGCGTTGTCTCCTGCCTGATAACCTTTTACGTAAGTACTCTACAGCCCTTTCCTAAAGCTTTGATGGGGGCTTCAGTTTACCCTAAATAACAATTTGCTTGTGATTCATGAAATTGAGCATAATGCACATATGCAGCAGAGCTCCAGGCTTGGCTACAGAGCTGCCGTCAGCTACAGTGAGTTGCTACTCCAGTTTATCTAAAACGTTTTCATGCTGACCTGTATTGTTTAATTTCGAGCTTTGACATTTAGTAGTATCATCTATTCCGATAATGAAAACGAGGTGGCCTAAGAGGAAAGATCATGCTCTGTAATTAAGTTGCAGTAATCGGTTTTATAACAAAATCTAAGCTACCAGCCTGTAATACTTGAATGTTATACATTTCCAGAAACCTACCTGTAAGAGTGTTAAAGCTGGAATTACCGTTTTTAAAAGACCTTTAAGTTTGAAATTTATTTAAAAGCATTGCTATTGTTTTATTAAATGATTTTTTTTTTTTTTTTTTTTGCACAGTCAAGAATTGGCCTGCATTTTCTTGCCGTTGAATTTAAGGAAAAAGGTGCTAACATTTAAAGTGATTTTTAACTCCAGAGATGTTTTGAATTTATGTATTTCTTTTGGCTGAATGTTCATCTTACATGAAATATTTTTGGAAGAAGATTTTAAGGCTTGTGATGTATATGTATTATATATGTGTGTGATTACATATACATACACACTACTGAAAACCTTAAAATAGTTATTATTTCTGTGCATCGTGTTATACTCAGTAAATTAAGTTTAGGTGTGTTTAAAATCTAAAGTAGAGAACAGTTATTTGTATCAGATTTTTACTGTGGCACATACATCAATCTAACAAACAGGTTGCTTGGAAATCAGATGTTTTTGTTTTTAAAAAACAAGTGAATCCTTTTATGATAGATCATTTGGACTCTTAACTCCTGTTATTCGTTAGGTAAATTCATTTTATCTTCATTATTTAATTGGTGAAGTGAACTTGTAACAATACTGGTGTTAACTTGATGCTTTTAAGAAATACTTGTTTTTATATTATAAAGCATTTTCTTATATTTCTGGCAAGAAAATACATGGGCCTTTTTTCTCCAATCTGGGACAAGGTCAGCCATAAAAAATTCCTAGTACGTAGGGATACACGCGTTTATTAGCGAAGGTTAATTTTATCTGCTGCATTGAATACCCATAAAGCGCAGCCACTAGGTACCTTTATGTATTTCACACATGAGAGTGCAGTATACGTTGGGCTCAGATTGGCGTAGCCCGGACTGGTTAGGTAGGTGCCGGTAACGACACCAGTTTTCATGTCTCTAGCTTTATTGTTAAAATCTGCAGAAAGGTTTGAGCAAGGAAGGGATTGTACCCTAATTGTCTTCGGATATTTAACGTCTGACATGCAGCAAAGGGTTTTATGGATTTAGAGTAATTTCCGAGTACAGAAGCGGACGAGTAATGCTTATAGGACAGATTTCTCTCTGACATAAAAGCAAAAGTTGCTTTTGATGAGAACCTCCAACTGTGGGAAGAAGGAGCTGCTCTTTCCAAAAATAAGCCGGTTCCCCGATGGGCAGGAATGGTGTCCGGGTAGCAGCACCGGGCTGTGGCTGAAGCCTTCTGAGGTGGGGAGGGACGGCCTCAGGGCTCCAGTGGAACTGCGTTAGAGGGCATTGGGGTTCTTTTTCATTTCTTATGCTGCTTCTACAGTCATGGGCATAATAACATCCCCAGACACCAGCGTGAACCCGGGGAAGGTTTTCACTGGCAGAGGTCAGCCCGTTAATCAGGGGGTTCTCATCCTACTTTGTATGGGCCCTCACAGGTAATAAAACACTCTCATTCAATGTTTTGTTTAAAAAGACTCTTTTTAAATGATACATGTATTTTCTATAATAAACGTTTAATCAAGAGGAAAAGAATCCTTTGCTACGAAGGCAAACAGGTTTTTTTTTTTTAAAGCTCTTTAAAAATGGGACGAAGTCTGTCATTCTTTGATAGCAGGTTGTGAAGATGAATAAACTTTTTTCTTAGCTGAAATTATTTCTTAAAAGATATAGATTGAGAGCTGCTTCTTGTGCTTGCTCTGCATTTTAGTTTGTTTATTTCATTACTCAAACATGACTCAAATTTCACAGCAAAAAGTCCAGTCATATCCACCTACAGTAAGTTGCATTGGACTTTTTTCCAGTACGTCTGGAAAATATATGTTGTGTTTAAATATATGTTGGCAGCCGAAGGTAAAACAGAGCTGGGGAGAAGCAGAATTACTGCACACTGAAAGGATTAATGACTTGGAGCCTTGTGTTTGGAGAAGAAAGAGATGTGTCCTGTTTGTGCTAAGCCAGGCTTGGGAACGTACTCCATCAACAATGATGCTGCATCCTTTACAACACAGGTTAGGCTGCCGACTGCCAATAACAACACATGCGGTGCGCGGGTCAGTGGGGTTAGGACCCCTTCTGGGCCCGAGAAGCCCAGCAGAGTTTCCTGTGAGCACCAAAGCACCCAGGAACTGCTCTCTGCACACGACTGAAGTGGCGCATAATGGTCACGAGGCCCACGGAGTTAAACAGCATCTGACCTCCCCCAATTCGGAAGAAGTTAGAGGGAGAAAAACAATTCTGAATACATGTACTTAAGTTTTTAAAAACCCTTTTAAAAATACTTCCTCTCTTTTGTTCTTTAGCAAATGAGTTTGTCTCGTGCTTTTGTGCCAGTTGCCCACGACCCAAATTTGAGAGTGATCCTTTAAATTAGACAAAGACTCTCAGATTTAGTTTGAACAAGAAACACATTATTTTTTATACTTTACGCATGAAGGGAAAAATATCAAGTTCTCATAAGTATTTACTCCTTCAGGAAAACACACACACACACACACACACACACACACAACTGTAACTATTACGACCAGGACAAGTTTTCAAGTAAGGCAGCCAGTTAGAAAGCAGCCTTTTTAGAGGTTAAAGGTTACGTTTTACTGTTCCCCACCACAATCTCTGAGGGCACATATGTCTTAAAAGACTTCTTTGTTAATCAGAGAACAGGAGTTTATATTTTTATGCAAGTCTCAACACCGGAGAGCAGACTAAGATTGAGCTTACAACAAAGGAGAGAAAAAAGTTGGAAAAACACTTGTAATAAATGGAATCGGAGGCTTATAAAATACTCCACTGCCGTAATTTTCCTCTTCATCGCCTCTTTGGAAACACTTAAGATATTAAATTTAGATTTTTAGAAGATTTGTTACCTTTTTCTCTTCACATTTCCTTCCCAATTTATTTTAAATGCACTCCATGGCCTTCTCATTTACTGTATAGCAGGAGGGCTTATAAGGCATTCTTTTAAGCCCACTTTCTTATGTAACAGTGCTTGTGCATTGCTGCTACATAAAAATTATAACTCTCAGTGTTATTGAAATATTGCTTTCCTTAAAGTTGGACATTTACCTACAAATAAGTGTCATACTGTGAAAGGGCCAACTTTGGTGTAACGCGGGTATAAAGACACCGGTTCCTCAACCTGTCATAGCATAATAATCCAGGATGGCCCTGTTTGTCTGTTAGTTTCTAATCTGAGTTTCTAATGATGAACCAGTGCGGGAGGTTAGGCTCATGCCATGCCCCAAACACCGAAGGAGGCTTTTAACCCCTCTCTCAAAGCGTCACACATACCAACTCAGGTGAATGGCACCGCTGTCATTTCTTTCTCAGTGGCTTGTGGCATGTGGCAGATCCAGTTTTTAGAAATATTTGTCTTGCACATTGATAATAAAGGTTTGTTGTGTTGTTTTTCACTTTTATGTTCCCGCAGACAAGAATATAGGGCTTTTAGGGATGGCCCATCGTTTTCAAGGAGGGGTCGGTCTTTGTCTCCAATAGTGAATCCTCTTGACCTTTGATTCAGTCCTGGCGACCAGCCCAGAAGGTTCCGGTGGAAGCCGAGAGCTCACTGACGTGGGCGATGGCGCTGGGTCGGGGGAGGGGGACCGGGCTTTTCTGACGAGGAGGAAGGACGTGTAATCCTCCTTGGCCTCTGCTCTGTGCGATGGGTTTCAAGAGAGGGATTCGTTCCCAACAAGAAAGCAGTCAAGTCGTCCATTTTTGACCAAAAGAGGTTTATCAGCATGGGAAGGCTGTGGCGTTAGGGCCTGGTCCAGAGGCGAGCACAGCCAGACCCGATTGTGTGAGGGCAAAGGCCGGTCTTAAGGGCGAGACAAAATAAAAATCTAAGTCAGAATGAAGCCAGAGGTGAGAGACCTTCTTGGAGACAGCTGGGTTCAGCGCTGTTGGGCGGTGCCCTCATGTCTCCCGGTGGTCGTAGGGTGGAGCTCGGAGCATTTTGGGACGACCGTCACCGTTCTAGAATGCCACGTTGCGTGCCGCCAGCCAGCAGGCTGCGGTCAGAGGACAGTGCATTTCCAGGGAGGCCCCGGGAGCCGCCGGGGCCTGCCCGTACAGGGCACGCGCGTCTGACACTCGGGCTGATCGCAGATGATCCGTCCCCGGGCCTTCGAGGAAAACTGAGTGAAGCTGGAGGTGGTTAGCAGCGAAGGCCAGTGTCATCCATGCAGAAAGGTGGACGTGATTTTGTGGACCGTGGAACCCAAGTGTGAACCTAGTGACCAGGCTTCTCACACCTATGAGTGAATGTCGGTGCTTCCCGGTGACAGAGCACAGCTTCACCTGGCACAATGATGTGCTGCCGGCGGGGGGACGGCAACCAGAAGTCTCACGTGCCTCCTCAGTGCTAACGTAATCAGGACACGGTCCCTGCCCACCAGGGTGCGCACGGCTCCTGTTGGGGACAGGCTCTGGGCGCTGGGGTGGGTGAGCCATCCCAACTCCCCCCGCCCCCCGGCCCGTTCTGGGTGCCGATGCCACGAGGGTTTAATTCCGTGTTGCTTTCCGTGCGCTTTGGTGGCGGAGTCCCACATCCCCGGATAAACTGTGGGCGCAGGGCTACGTCTGCAGCCCGTCGGAGCCTATGACGGCCTGATCTTTGCACTCCAGGTGCATGTTTAAGGGGACGCCGGTCACCCTGCCTGTCGTAACAGGCTCGCAAACGGCAGGAGGTGAGACGCGGCCCACACAGATGCTGAGCTCCGCCGCAGGCTCGTTCTCTCGGCGGCGCGAGTGGTTCCCAGGCTCTCAGCAGCCATGAGCAGCGCGCTCTGTGACTGGGGAATTCTAAAATGAAACTATCGTCCTTCAGATCGAATAAAGTCAGCTTTGCAGACACCCCGCTGCATTGTCCTTGTTCTCATTCTATCACGGACCAGGAAAAGCAGCATCAAAGCTCGGCACGGACGTTTCCTGAACGTCTACGTTTCTGACGTCCACTGACAAGTTCTTAAAGCATGAACCGAGCCCCTGGTCTCATGTGACACAGCCACATGTAGGCTTCGATGCTGTGCCGCAGCTTCAGCACTGAATTCACACGGTTACCAAATGACTTTTCCAGGTGCGGATTATGAGAATCCCCGAAGGCGAGCGTGAACTAGCTACCTTCCCTCCTCGACCTTGTTCTCGTGGCAATCAGAAATATCCCCACGTCCTCTCACGTCCAGCCAAGACAGCGTGTTCCCATGGGGGCAGAGTGGGAGTCAGAGCAGAGATCCGGCGAGGTCGCCTCTAATTTCCACCTGTAGAGAGCCCTTTCTTAAAGGACCAGCTCAGTGGGAGGCGTTCATTCTTCCAGGTGCTGGTGACAGCAGGGAGCAGAACAGGCCTCGTGCTCCTGGAGATGACACGCTGGTGACGTCGGGAAGGCACGTGGCTCAGTTTAGATAGTGATAACTGCTAGGGAGACGTGAAACGGGATAGCGTGACCTTGGCGGTTAGAATAAAACTTGTTACTCCTGGAGTGCGAGGTGAGGACGGACCACAGCAGACTCCAGGATGGTGTGTCTGGGAGCCGAGGAGACACGTCTGGGCGACTCCACATAGGAACCACAGTAATAGCAGCAAACAGTTCTAGGCACAGTTCTAAATGCTTTACATCTGTGCTGCCCAGTATGGTGGCCCCTCGCCACGTGGGGCTATTGACATTTTAATTGATTCAAATTAAATCAAATGAAAAATTTGGTTTCTCAGACACACCAGCTACATTTCAAGTGCTCAGTGTGGCTCGTGGCTACTTTATTAGCAGAAGAATAGAACATTCCATCATTGAAGTAAGTGCCATTGGATAAACTCATTTTCAGTCTTCACTACAACCCTAACAAAGCAGGTACAATTTTCCCATTTTACAGAAGAAGAGAGTGAGGCACAGGGAGTGGGGTACCCGTGACTTGCCCGACGCTGGACCCAGAGCCTGAGGGTCAATCCCAGCCCTGCTATCTCGCTGTAGCTCATGTGAATGCAGCTCATCCATATGGTCCACTTTCGACTGGACTGCAGCCGACGGAGAAGGCCGCGCTTCCGCAGAGTCTGGTCACTGGATGCCTTAAGAGCCAAAGCTTGGATCTTTTCTGATGGAAAGTGTAGGCCGCGTTAGCACAGTTTCTCCCTCGAAAAGAGAAGGGAAGAGGGAGCTACCGAGCACCAGGAAAAGACCAAGTCTGTGCGATCCCAACAAGGCCAACAGGCTAAGCTCTCTGCGCCTCAGTTTCCCAGTGTGTCAAGTCAGGCAGACAGTGTCTACCCCTTTAGGCCGATGCGAGGATCTGATAAGGCACGGAAGGCACTCGGCGTAGCACCTAGCACGCAGCACGCTGGGTCAGTGGCGACCGTGTCATTGTCACAGCAGCGTTGCTGCTCCATTCTGTAATGGCCACACGGAGATGGAACGTTCCAGAGCACAGTGAACAACCGGAACCGGCACCTCCCAGAGCTGCCTAAGACCTTCTGGTTGCAAACACCACAGGCTGCGAACCCTGACAAGCACTTCGGGATGGGTGCAGAGGGCCTTGGAAAGAGATGGGCATTTCGCGCCTGCATTTGGCAGTGATAAACCTAGGCAAGTGTCTTCCTCCTCTGAGCTTTTAGTTCCTTAAAAAATGGGCATAATCGTACCTATCTTGCATGATTGTTTCAAAACTTGATTATCTAGGAGCCTGGCACAGACACTTGGTAATCATAGGCATAATTAACGATTTTTATGAATGATATCTAGCTCTTCATGATTAAAAGCTGCTTGTGAGTCTTTTCTTGCCCAGATGCTGTAGACTGACCCAGAGGCTGCGTTAGGGCAGAGCTGGGAGCGACGGGGCAGATTATCGTCCCTTGCAGTGGTGACAGGACCCCAAAAAGCATCGTATGGCGTGCCTGTCTCTCCTGTTTCACTGAGATCGAAAGTACTGCACATGCCCCCCCAACCAGCAAGGAGAGCGTCCGCCCCGTGTGGGCCGAGGTGACCATCCTGCCATTACAAAAACTGGGAAGAGAAATTCCGCAGGCGGCCAGCTGACCAAGACTTCACAGAGTCAGACCGGCCAGAAGGAGCCGGAACACCCACCCTAAGGATTTGGGGCTTCAAATGGAAAATCTGGGCCCTCTAAGCCAAGATGGCTGCGGTGCCCACATGGGGTGCATCGGGTGCTTGTTATTAAACGCATCTAAATAAAAGTGGGCCCTGAGTGTGTCACGAACCAAGGATTATAATGCCGTCGCGAGAGATCGAGGTCACGGAAGAGGAAAACAGGCAGTGTACAAATGGAAAACGTGACCGAAGTGCAGATAAAAACAGTGACCTTTCCCCAGGAAAGGTTAGAAAATGAAAGCTGAATTGCATTCCAGTCTTCGAAAACTCCTGAGTAGAAAATACAGCTGTTCACATCGCCCAGCTTCTCTCCCTCAGCTGACCGATAATCCGTGGACTACACTCGTCCTATCTCTCACTGTGCTTTTCTTGGCTTGTTTTCATTGCTTTCCGCTGGGTAATGTATCAATGGCTCATTTATCTAGTATCCAGATTTGGTTGCCAGGACAGGCTCTCTCAGACGACACGCGTAGCATCCGCGCGTCTTGCCTCATTCTCGCACTTAGCAGCTTCGTCTGGATCTCGACATTGCTCGTCCATTTTAAATGACAGACCTTAATGGATCAGTATTTGGTGGGGAGTTTTTCTGAAGAACTGGAATATAGGATTCTGGGAATTCTCTCATTTCCTGACCTAATAAAGCATCATTGTGAGTGGAAAGAACTTTATGGGAGTCAGCCTGAAATATCAGTAAAATGTGCCTGATCTGTTCCGCACAGCACAGGAAGCTCTCGGAAAGGAAACTTTTAAACAAGTGAGCAATCTATGTCGGATCCGTAAGATCACTACATGGAGAATCAAAGGGTCAAGCAGCCTTCAGTGGACATGCCGAAGCCATCAGAGTTACAGGAAATGAAGATCTAGGTAAATGCCTTTTTCCAAGAATAGGTTTATCTTCGTTTAAAAATATCGGTACTCAAACTGTTATTCCATAGAAATAAATGTCCAATAAAAGCAAATATTGGATTAGCGATCACCGGAGAATACATAATTATGAAAATTAAATGCCCAGCCATAGCAACTTTACTCACTGAATTAACTATTGTTAGACTATTTTAATAATTTCAAAGATCTCGAATGTCCTCCCTGTTTAAACTCTTCTGAAATAACCATTTTGTGGACGAGCGAGTCAGAGGAGGCAACACGTTCCTGCTTGATGGCCTGGCCAAACGATAACGCCATCCAGGACAACGTGGCCGGGGCCAGGCAGAGCATTTTCGACAGTCACCTCAGAGCACACGATAAAGGGTTAGCTCGATATCTTCTGTTAGTACTAATGAAACAACTGGCTATTTTACTTTAAGCAATAAAGTATGGCTAAGTTAAAATGAATAGAACTTCAGTTAATCATACCTTTTTTTCCTTAAAATTTATAATATAATTAGGCCCACAAAATAGATAAAAGAAGTTCTATTAGTTAAATCAGTTAAAATGGTCCAGCTGCTTGGCAGACCATATAGAGAGAAATTTTTTAAAGCAAGCGAGCATGTTTTCTGAGCCTAGGAAATACAATTTAGATGGTGCTCATCAAGCACTAAGATGTATCTCCTGCTTGATTAGTGAAAAGGCAATTTGGCATTTGGGTCATATTATCTTTTAGTTATCAACCAGTAGACAGTTAAAATCTGCAGCAGTCACAGTTCAATGTAGAAATGGAAGGAAACAGTAATCAAATATGACCTGCCTCGAAATAGAGGAAAATATCACTAGGTGGAATGATTCGTGTGGTGAGCTGTGAGGTTTGTCCGTCCCTAAATTGGTGGCTCAGGATCATCTTGGTAAGTGACAAGCTTGTTAGAAGTTGACAAGCGGCATCTCTATTTCGTGGTAAATGCTTTCAGCTCCAGCTTATGAAGCTAGGCTGTTTGGGTGATCGCCGGAGGGCGGTCACCCTGCAGGTGGCAGGAGGACGCAGGGAGGGCGGGAAGGGCCAAGCAGAGCCACCACAGCCCCACCTTTTCTGGAAGACTTCCTCTCTGCAGTACAAAGGCCTGAGCTGACTGCCCTGGAGTCACGCCTGGACTTCAAAGCCCTCCTGGGCAGGAGCTGGGGTGCTGGTGCCCCGGCCTCCTGCCGTGGGGATGGGTCCTGCCACAGGGTGTGGGCTTTCTGGCTGTTAAGTCAGCCAGTTTTCCGGGAGGCCGGGGGGCCCTGGCGGAAGGCACCACGTGACTGCAGGCCATGCGAGCACATGCATTGATGCATTGCCCACCTGGACCTGCACAGCCCACTTAGGGACACGTTTAGTCTGAAACAGACCCGCTCCCTGGGACACTTTCACAGAGGGGCCGAGCCCCGACCGGCGCAGACACCTGACGTGGTTTGGAGGTAGAAGCCCTTCCAGTACGAGGCAACCAAACCGGAGAAACACAGGTAGTGACTCCATCACACAGGCCCCCAGGGCCCGCCAGCTCCAGACAGCCACGTGTCATGTGTCCATGTCCAGCTGCACCCTACCCAGTCACGTCTGTTACACTGCCACGTGTCATGTGTCCACGTCCAGCTGCACCCTACCCAGTCACGTCTGTTACACCGCTGCCGTTAGCCCGCGCATCCCTTCAGAGGGAGACGCTGTCGGCGTCTTGTGTTTTGTGACGGAAAATGTCAGTTACAGGAATGCGTGATGCGTGTGGGTCGGGAGGCACTCGAGTGCTCGCTGTGATTAGTTTCCGTATGTCGTGGGGACACTAAATTGTTGCTTTTGTAAAAACTGCCTTCCCATTAATTCTTCTTGGTTCCGGTAAAGCAGTCACAACCCTAGCAACCCGAGACTGCCTTGGAACAATATAATTAAAACATGATGCTGCTTTGCTAGCGGAGAGTTAGTGATTATCTTTTTAAAGAGAAATCGCTTTATAATTTTTTTCCAACTATAAATATGTGTTCATCAAAGCTTTAGGTCGTACCGAAATAGAATTTTTAAAAAGTAAAGAAATCACCCACCATTCCCCATCTAAGATCAATGCTTTTAACACTTTGTTATATGCCTTCTAGATTTTTTATCTATTTGTGTATTAAAAAGTGTGCTCTTTTGCTTTGTAATGGTGGACCTTCTTACCAAATGATTGCTGAATGCTTCCGCTTTCTTGAAGTGACATCCTTTTTCTTGGTGCCCTAACTCGCGGCGGTTCTCAGATAACACACTAGTTGAATTTCTTAAATACATGTACACATAGAAATTGTAGGGTCCTGCAGCTTTAAACGGTTTCTTTATCCAGGAGAGTCGTGAGTTTAGCATAACGTCAGTGTTCGTTTTCAGAGACGGTAAATTTCCTTTCTTCTAAAAGCAAGTTATTTTAGATTGAGAGTTGATGGCCTAATTAGCCTTGGACCTTTTTAGCTTCTCGTAAAGTACTATAGATTGTTTCAGAGCAAGAAGTAGGTTTTACTGTCCCTTAGGGCACCTTGTTCTGCCTCACTTCCCTGGCTGGCTCCTCTCCAGCGAAAATGGAAGACATAGGCCTGCAGAAAATGCTTTGGTTTGCTTTTATGTTTCCCTCTTTGGGAGTGACTGGAATATCCACTAGCTCATTTCCACCCTTAGGCGACGTTCAGGAAGTACCCTCGTGTAGGACGGAGTAAGCAACGTGGACGTATGTCACATAACTCTTGACCAGTATTCACCTGAAATAATATAACTAACAGTTATTGAGCACTTACTGAATGCCAGATACCACGAGTGATTGCATTTAGCACTTAAAACAGCCCTGTGAGTTAGATATTATGATTTAGGTGACAAGATTTAATCTCAAACATAGTCTGACACCTCAGGGGTGTCTGTTCTGCTCTCTCTTACCCCACCGTGTTGAGAACATCTTTGAGGCCCCACATCTCAGCTCAACGTGAGGGTGCGTTGGCACAGCGGACCTGAAGGTCTCTCCTCGCTCGGCGTTTTCCGAGCCCGTGAGTCTGCTCGGCAAACCGCCTCCCCACTGGGAGTCACCCGTTCTCTTACGTTTCATCACCGCACCAGCAGCCGGCCTTTTCTCGATGGCAGTGCTTCAGCTGTGGGACGCCGGAGCAGCACAGAGGGGCCCCACGAGAAAGCCACAGAGGTTCTCGCGCACACGCTGTCCAGCGCCCGGCAGTGCCCGTCGGGCCGGCCGAAGGCGTGCAGAGGGCCGCGGGACTCCAGCTCCGATGGCTCGCGGCGTGGGAGCACCCGTGTGGATGGGCCATCACTTACGACGACGAGGATCCGAAACGGCTCGTTAGAACTGACGCACGGCTACCGCATGCGCACCGCTGCGCTGTTCTCTCAGAAACTAAAATTATTACCCTATTTCCACAGGCTCTGTGTGGAACGGAGAGAGGAGTCTGCTTTTGATCGCACAGGAGCAAAGAAACTGCCCATTTTTGAGTGGCGAGAGCCTGTCCTAGCAGAGCTGTTCCATTTCCTAGTGAGGAAGTGGGTCCAGGGCCCTGTGCAGGACAGCTCGCGGCGCGGCGGGGAAGGACGGGTGTGGCCGTGTCCCCATCGGTGCTGCCACGGCGCGTCCCGGAGGCTGCAGCCTGGTTCTCGAGCGCTCGGCACCATCCGTGATGCGCGAGGCCACATGTGACGGATGGAGGCTGGCGGGGCCGGTCTGCCGAGAGCATCCCAGGCCGAGGGCACAGGCGTGCAAAAGCCCCAGGTTGGGAGCGGTGTGGCATACGCGATGGGCAGAGAGGACGGCCGTGCTAATGGGGCACATCGGCGGGAGGGACACATCCCAGGCCGAGGGCACAGGTGTGCAAAAGCCCCAGGTTGGGAGCGGTGTGGCAGACGCGAGGGGCAGAGAGGACGGCTGTGCTACTGGGGCACATCGGCGGGAGGGACCCGAGGCTGGCGAGGGCCCCTGGGAATGAGGGGCTGGACTCCAGGAGCACCGGAGGCCGTGTGCCTGGGAGAGCCGTTAGGAAGAAAGTGTGAGCCTGGAGGGGAGGCCTGAGTCTGCGGCTCCCTCCCGCTGCGACAGAGCTGCCCCGGACTGGTGGCTGCTGTTGCCCAGGACATCTCGGTGGTGACGCAGTCCCCGGCGGTTCCTGTCAGCCCAGCCTTGGACAAGAGGACAGTGAGTGTGGCCCGGGCTCTCGCACTGGGCACCCCGGGATCCCGAGGGTCGGGACACACGTGCGGTGCGGTGGCACCTTGCCCTTTCGCCCTGACGCAGCCTCACAAAGGCCCAGGAAGCCCCGCCGTCACCCGACGCCCTGGAAAACGCCGTTGGCGTCAGCGACCCGCAGGCAGTGTCGGCCGCTCTGGACGCTTGGGCAGGGCCTGTTCAGTTGTCACCGTCTCACCCGGAGCGTGGGGAGCGGGGCATCCTGCCTCCGGGGCAGCGCCCTGGCGGGGAGCATCGCCCTGGCGGGGAGCGCTGTGCTGGGGACCCCGGCCTGCAGCGCGCCCATTCTCCTTGGCTTCAGAACCCCGGAGAGTGGGCGGCCCGGTTTGGAAAGCATTTGGATTCCCGCGTGAAGTCGACGCCGACCCCGGCCTCCAGCTCCTCGCCCACCTACCTGAGGGCCAGGTGCCGCAGGCTTGGAGGCGGGAGTCCTTGATTTACGTTTCCTCCCGTCTCGGGAGGCTACGCCTGCTCTTCCTCAGGCGGCCTGCGTGATGGGCGAGCACTCTTCGTACAGGCCGCGGTGGCCCATAAATCAAATGATGTCACCGCTTACACATGAATGCCCGAAAGAGAGGGAAGGACATTGCTTTTGATTTAGGATGAGAAGTGGACTTGAGCTGCTGACAGGCCGTTTGTCCCCACGCCGCTGCAGAGCAGACTCGGTGAGGCCGGGTCCTCACACCTCCCCGAGAACCTTCTCTGGGCGCACGTCATTGGGAGGAGATGGTGTTGATGTTTCTCTCCGTCCTGGGAGGCCGGCTCGGCCACGTCCCCCTCTCCGCGGACTTTGGAACGGAAAGCCATTGCTAAGTGTTAATTTTCTGAACATACAGAGTGAACAGAAAATGAACAGAAATTTAATACCTAGAGAACTTGCCATAGGAAAAACGTGTATAAGTGGCTTAATGTCCAAGTAAGAATGAAGGTCGCCTGTCCGGCCAGTCCTCTACCTTTGAGATGTCCATCCCACTGTTTCTGAAGTTCTTTGGGGAGAAAAACTGGCAGAGCCGTGTACATTCATGGTTGTGGGGCTGGAAGTGACAGTCACTGGGAGGGAGTCCCGTTCCTGCAGCTTTGGGCAGCACCCCAGGGGGAGAGGAGAGCCAGGGTCCAGGCCGCGCTGCCTTTGGCTGAACGAATCACTGTAAAATTGCTAATGGCTCCCAGCGACGCTGAGAAGTAAAACTGGATTGTCAAGACAGGACGTCACGACAGAGGAGCCACAGTGGATAGGACGTGCCCGTGTGACACAGCGCAGTGCTTGGCAAGCTGTGCTCTGCGATGCGCCCGCCCACCCTGGGTCACGCCCGGCTGAGATGGGCTAATGCCTTCACTCGAGCAGGACGCGCCATTCATCCGTCCAGCGGGGAGGTCTGCGTCTTTACCCTCGTCACCCACACTGACCCTCTCAGGGAAGGTTGGGACACTGCTCCGTGTCTCTGAGTCCCTCAGTGTCTTAGAGATTCGGAATTAAGCCCCTGGTGGCCGATGCCATTTCTTCCTCCAGATGACCTACATCTCTCAGCTGCATCCCCTTGGCCTAAACAGGGCGTTTCTGTGCCTTTGTTCATGTCAGCTTACGGGAAGGATGGAGCCATCACAGTCATTAACCGTCCTCAGTGCTGAGGATAAGAAGCTAAAATCTCACCTTTTTTTAAGCAGCAACAGCAGCAGCAGCTCTCAGTTCTCAGGAAATCTTGATCTCATTAAGGTTTTGAGCTGATAGGAAAATAACTTAGTGACCTGGAGACCATTTGGAAATGTGACTTGTGTCCTGGGACCTAAGAGGAACTGTCCTGTTCGTTATACGCAACACCTGGAGGGCGCCCCGCGCAAGTGAGGACGGCCTCGTCTGGGACTTTTCAGTCGACGGTGCGAATGAAGGGGAAGGAATGCCAGGTGAAATGTCTCAGGCTCGAAAACCCTCGTCCTCCAGCTCTCGACTCGGGAGCTCCAGACAGAGCCATCGAAGCCCGTCATGCTGTCCCCGCTCCCTGTCTTCCCGAGACTGCCGCCCGTGACAGTGGGAAGCTTCTAGGCATGTTTTTGTGTTCTTATGACAGCAGATTAACAATTACAGATTGAGCACAATTCAAAGTCACCGACTCACTGAGGCCGTTACAGTGTGAATCCTTACTTAAATCGTAAGTTTGTTACAAATAAAATTGAATACCTCGCTGGCCAGAACGGGGTGGCTGCTGAGCTTAGTTTTCTCCCTTCCCGCCCCGTGGACATGACAGAAGCATTTGGCCTGCCTGTAAATTAGGCAGAAAGCCTGTGAACAAAGGCCCTTCACCCCTGAAGGTGCTGCACGCACACTCGGCAGACCGGCCCACTGGTGACCGTGCTGACCACGGGGCCCTGTGTGCCAGCACCATGCAAGGGCTTGGGGAACAGCGGGGATCAAGCCTGAAGTGTGCACGGCGGTGGGGACTGACTCACGCTTAGGTACCATCGCAGACGGCGAAGGGCCAGGAGCGCACACCCTCGCCCAGTCTGGGGCCAGCACCTCTGGGAGGAAGTGACCTTATGCCAGGACCTGAGGTGGGCAAGAGGAGACCCGAGACCAGTGCCTTGGGCAGAGACGCCCGTGAGGAGGGCCGAGGGGGAACATCTGGAGGCGAGCCGCAGGTGAGGCGCCGCGGGCGAAGGGCCCGTGACTGGCTGCGTGAACCTGCTTGGTTCTCGGGTGTGAGACCACTGGAGGCTTTTAGTCTCCCGTGTTTTTAAGTCGCTCTTGCTGTGATGTGGAGAACGGAGTGAGGAAGCGGGAGGGAGCGGAGGAGACGGCGGGGTGGGGGTGGGGGTGGGGGAGAGCAGATGGATTTGAGGCTGCTTTTCCAAGTCGGGTCTCCAGCCTGCCGTGCGCCACGGGCTGGGAACGGGGACAGGCAGAGTGCACAGCGGGCGGGTGTGACGCGCGTCCCGAGGGGGCGAGACCCCATCCTAGGCCTGTTCTCCTGTCATTCTAGACCCTCGGGGTTGTGGGTCAAATTGAAACTGCCCCTTCTCTTCCTTGGCCAGCCCCTGACATATGGGCTCTGCTTGTGTCCATTAGCCGACAGAATCACAGATTTGGGCCTTTCCTTTTAAAGTCAGTGGCAAGGCGTCTCCTGTGGGGTGGCCGCTTCCAGAGCCCATCACAGACCCCAGGAATTAATGTCCCAGGTGCGAAACCGACGCCGGAGCCGACGACTCGGCCCCGCTGAGCGGGAGTCAGTGGGTGCCAGCTCCCCCCAAGGGAGGCTGTCGGCGCTCAGACGCTCTCTCCGCGGACGCGCTGTGGCGTGGTTGGCCCATTAAGGCCCCCGTCGTCCTCCCAAGGCCACGTGCTGGCCGGACAGCAAGGATCACAGGAACCCGTGGCTCCCACCAGTCAGGAGCCTCTGGCCCCGCAGCCGTAGGAGGCGTTTGTGGTCACCGAGGAGGCACGATTTGGGGGTAGCACCTTTCCTGCTCCGATGTTTGATGGAAACTGCCCGCCGTCACCTGAGCCATTCGGCCCGGGCGAGTCCACCATCCCGGACACGATCACTGCCGTTCACGCAGCCTGCTTCTTCCCGCCGGGTTTGGAGTTTGTTTCCAGTCTTCTGAGCGCGAGCTGCACCGTGACAGCCACCCTCACGGCCACCTCTTTTCACACGGGAGTAATTACCTCCCTAGCAACGGAACTTCCATTGGAGAGATGATAAGTCCTAAGGCTGCAGAACCCGCGAACACGCCCGCCCCAGACGGGCCGTTCCCTCCGAGCCGCCGCTTCCCAGGCCAGCTCTTCCCCTGCCGGGTGCCTGTTCCCCTTCACCCTGCTCCTTCCCGGACTTGTCGCGCTCACTCCCTTCCTCAGGCCACGTCTGCTATGCTGTGTTCTTCCCTGCGTTACTTCCCTTCCCTCGGAGCCGGTGGCCTGAGGCGGTCGTGGACGCTGTCTGTGGGAAGGAAAGTGTGTGTCCTGAGCGCCAGCTGTGAACTGTCATGTGCTCCGGAGCTGGGGTGTGGCCATGTCGCTGGTCTCACAGGTAACAGAGTGCCTGGTGTTCCCCCAGCAAGGTGACAGTGCCGGAGCTGTCCTGCAGACGTGCCACGGCCCGGCAGCCTTGGAGAAGTGGCGTTTCCTCGGCCGGGGGTCTGCATGAATAACGCAGGGAAAACGCACTGAGGCTCTGCACTTGGAGAATTGTTTCCAGACAGGCAGTCTCCGCTGCCCCTTGCGTGATTCAGGGCGTCTCGAATTACTGTGGTGCTTCTTCCAGGAAGACCAGTCGGCTTCAGCGCCTTTCTCCAGTTACAGTAAAGGAGGGTCTGAGGCTGTGATGAACAGCTGATGACAGATGCCCGAGGCCGCAGTGGAGCAGGGGGCAGGGTTCGGGGACAGGCTCCAGGCTCCTGCACTCACCGTGTGGCCCTGTGAGATGGTTCTCGGGAGGTTCCCAAGAAGGACTGGGGGGCTTGTGTCTGTGAACTCGGGGGTCTTCCCTGAGTCCTGCCCACCTCTCCCCACAACCCTTCCCTTAGGCCAGGTCTAGACACTGTCTCGAGAGCATATTCACGCCATGTGCCCGGCGCTCGGTTTTCCGGTCACGGTCTGTTGAAGTTAGGTGGCCTGTGGAGAGGCCAGGATTTGGGGCCAGGGAGCCCTGGAATTGATGTGTCCCCTCTGCACCTGGAGCCGGGCCTCACGCTGCCCGTGACCCCACAAAGCAAGGAGGGCAATGAGCAGGCAGCGTCCTCTTCCCCGTAACCGTCGTTGTCGGGAACAGCGACCAAGGTCTCTGTTTCCCACAGGCCATCTGGATGTCACCATGGCAGCCACAAACCTGGAGAACCAGCTGCAGAGTGCGCAGAAGAATCTCTTGTTCCTGCAGCGGGAACACGCCAGCACTCTCAAGGGCCTGCACGCCGAGATCCGGCGACTGCAGCGGCACTGCACAGGTACCGGGGCGCCAAGCCGGGGCGGGGGGCGGGGCCGGGGGGCGTTCAGACGCGGGCTGGTGCCCCGGCCAAGCGAGAGGGGCGTGTCGCTCTGCCGTGGCTAGCCCGTGACACCGCAGTCTGTGAGAGTACGCCCCTCATCCCCTCTGCCTGATGGACACACACCAGGCAGAAGGCTGTAAAGCCATTTCTTGGCATGCTGAGGACTTGAAAGATCGAAATGCAGCAGTCAGAATTTACAATGCATTTTGGAACCAATGACCAAACATAAAAGCAAGCTGCTTGCTAATTGTGGATGTCGGGATATGTTTCGGGGAATAGGAGGCCCCCCGCAAACCCTAGCAAGGACAGTGGCCACTCAGTTTCTTCTGCTCCCGTGCGTGCCTCTCACCTGCTCTGTCCGGGCAGGACCCTCTGTCTGAGTGAGGCATTCATTCTGCATTTTCAGAGGCTTTTGAAGGGCACCGTAACCCACAGAATTAACATCTTTGGTTTTCTTTTTAGATTTAACATATGAGCTGACACTCAAAAGTTCAGAACAGACAGGTAAGAGCTTCCTCCTCAAAGGTCTGCGACGACGCGTTCCCTGCTGTGTACGTGTCGGCACCACGTTCGCTGGTCGGTCACACACAGGAGAAAACGCATCTGCCGTGAAGAGCTGCGCGTGGGGCCAGGGGGCCAGGGCCGCCGGGGGAGTTCGGAGCCCTGGGTGCCGCCGGGGGCCGGTGGAGCCATGAGCGCTTGTTTCCTTCCAGCTGACACGTTTGGAATGCCTCGCGCATGCTTTCCTGACTCTCCGTTTTTCTGTGATGAACATGCGTTCCTTTTGTAATCAAGAAATAGCGTGATTTAAAGCAGAAAGAAAGAGGAGACGGGTCCCACCTCCCGTGTCCCTCCCGTGTCCCTCCCGCGTAGCACGGGACCCGGCACAGGGCAGCTGCTCGCTGAATGTGCGCTGAGTGATCAGGTTGCTTGGTGGCTCCCCAAGGGTGCTGAGCGGCTTTCTCCAGACTCTAGTCCCAGAAACACCCCCACCCCCGACCAGAATCCCCAGGACCCCCAGGGATCAGCCTGGTGGCAGAAGGGAGGGAAAGCTACAGGGCCTCTGTGGCCGGTTACAAAGAGCCTGCTCCCCAAACGGGTTTAGGAAGTGCAGGGTCCGCATCTGAGTCGAGGTGGCTTTTTGCAGGTAGGCCTCGCGTGGCAGTCAGCACTCGCGAGGACGCCCCGTCCCTTGTCATCCCACAGGGCTCAATGCACTGCCAAGCACTGAGGTTCCCACTGTGTCACCCACATCACGGTCTCCTAAGTGCGTTTCAGGAGCCCACCCTCAGGGGACCCACCGTGGAAGACACCAGGCACCACCCACCACCCGCAGCCCCTAGGCCAGACACCAGGCCTCCAGGGATTCGGGAGAACAGGTCAACTCCAGTCAGAGAGCCCAGCCCACAGCCCTGCCATCCGTGTCACAGAAATCGGGGCATCCTCACTTCCTGCTCCCTCTGGGCCGAGACTAGTCTGTCTCCGTCCTGAGCCCCAAGGCCATCCTCCTCAGCTGCAGGGACCATGCCAGTGACTGGCAGGGGTGTCGTGGTGACGGTGTGAAAGCAGGTGGTGCTCACGGGGCGTCCGCCGTCCCCCGCGGTGGAGGTCACTG